AGGGGGGGGGGGCAACGAGAGAAACAAAGCCACTAGCTCCGAGACTTGAACCGTGGTCAGCCATGTGGGAGTCCAGCGCCCTCATCCACCATGCCACCTGCCGGCCCTGATTTCTTGCTTTCTTTCTCTCTGTCTCTCTCTGTCTGTCTGGTGAGCACACATGCCCTATCGCGAAAACCTCTCAAAAAAAAAAAAAAAAGCCATGGTTTATGTGACATGACATTATCTTACATATTGCTATATTCAGGAACCCGTGCCACTTACAACTGTTAAGTTGTTGGTGGCATTTTTTTTTTTTTTTGAGAGGTTTTTGCTATAGGGCGCGTGCGCTCACTGGAGAGACAAAGAGAGAAAGGGAGAAATCACCCCCCAGTGGGAAGACCAGGCCACAATCCCCTCTCTGTTCTCCTCTAGGGATTTTGGTCATGTGTGCACAGGCATTTAGCATGAGTTTTAATCCACCAGGTCCGGGACACGAACTATGGTCAACTATGTGGGAGTCCAGTGACGTAACCATTACACCATGTACTGATCCCATCTGATGTAGCATTTATTTATTTATTTAGTGGAGAGGTTTTTGCTATAGGGCTCATGTGCTCGTCAAAAAGACAGAGAGAGACATAGAGACAGAAAGCGAGTAATCACCCCCCAGGGGGGATGGCCACGCCACAATCCCTTCTCCTCCATTCTCCTCTCGGGATCTTGGGCACACACACACACACGAGCCCACCGTGAGTTTAAGCCACGGGGTCCGGAATTTGAACCACGGTCGGCTACATGGGAGTCCAGTGACATAGCCATTATGCCAACTTCTGGTCCCCAACAATGGCATTTGTATTATGATTATTTTTCTAATTTGCTGTTTGCTGGAGATAGAAAATAATCACCCCAAGGGGGATGGCCACACGACAATCCTTTCTCCTCCATTTTTCTCTTGGGGTTTGAGGCACTGTTGTTCTCTAAGCACGCACATGTGCCTGGCATGGTTTTCAGACCAAGGGTCCAGGGCTTCAAGGACACAGCTGGCCACGTGGGATCCAGAGCCTTAGCCACCCCTTGGCTGGTCCCACAATGGCCTCTTCCATTTGTGGAGGAGAGTTGTCAACCCTTTATTATAACGAGGACGTTTATGATAAGCCATGGCTTCTCATGGGAAGCAGGAAGCCCTGTAAGAATGGGCAGGCATTCCCACGCAGCGTTCCACGGCTGTCGGTGGTGGCCGCCCACAGACGGGCAGGACCCTCCACCGGCTTCGGTCCCAGCCTGCACCTGGCAGGCCAGGGGGAAGCGCTCAGGCCCCGCCTCCCCTGCGGTGTAACTGCCTCCCCCCCACCATGGCGGTGATGGGTGATCCCTGACCTTCCTTCCTGCAGATGGGTCTGGAGAGATGGTGCCAGCTGGGCAATCGGGTGAGTGTCTGGGGGCGGGAGGGGGGGCGCTGGCATTGAGGGAGCTGGACATGGCCTCTCCCCTGCCCCAGCCTCTGCTGTCGGGGGCGTGGTCATGAGAGACAGGGGTGGAGCGGGGTGGGGAATGGGGTCTCTGGGCTGGGCTTCACACCACGCTTGGGGCAGGGCCTGCTGCAGCAGCAGCAGGAAGTAGGAGGCCATGGACATCAGAGGAGGCCGGGCAGGAGTCTGGAGTTACACCACCCCCACCCCACCCCACAGAAGAGTCCATGCGGGTGGAGAGCTCAGGTCTCCCATGGCCACCCCAGGCTGCCCGGAGTGCTAACGCGGAGTTTGTCATTTCCAGGACTGCGCAGGAGAGGCTCTGACCCAGCACACGGTAAACACGCATGCTCCAAGAGGACCGGCGTGAGCGGCCTGATTCAAGGAGGGTGGGAGGGCTGCAGACGCCCTGAGGGTGGGTCGTCCCAGTATGGGCTGTCGGCAGCCGGGAGGTCACCTCTAATGCAGGAGAAATGGGATACAGACCTGGGGGGAAGTTGGGGAGCCCCGAGGACAGTCACCCCACCTTCATGGCTTTCTGGACTGGAGGGCCCTGCAGGAGTCCCCTCTGGGTCAGAAGAAGCCCCCAGGAGATCAAGTGTCGGAGAGGCAGGGACAGCCCACCTGCTCCCCTGTGTAGACTGAAAGCCCGGCCTCTCTCTCTGTCTTGTTTCTAAGGAGAAGTGGAGGCCGCTCAGTTAAGAAGACTGAATATAAAGAAAGATGGTGAGGAAATTGATGTTCCAAAGCCGTGTCTGTCTGTGGGGTCCAGATTCCTGTGGGCCAAAGGCAGCTGGGGCCAGGCCCGCAGGTGGTGCGGTGGTTAAGGCGCTGGATCCTGTATAGCCAATTCCACAGTTCAAGCCCTGAACTTGGTGGCTTGAAAATCACTCTGGGAGGGACCAGCAGATGGTGTAATGGTTACGTCCCACATAGTTGACCATGGTTCGAGTCCCAGACTCCATGGCTGGTAACTCACTCCAGGTGCGTGTGCGTGCGTGCGTGCCCAAGATCCCAAGAGGAGAATGGAGGAGAAGGGAATGCAGTGTGGCCATCCCCCCGGGGGGTGATTTCTCGCTTTCTGTCTCTGTCTTTCCAGTAAGTGCACCTGCCCTACAGCAAAGATGTACAAATATATTGGAAAGTTTTGCCAATAATTGTTTGGGTTTTGTTTGTTTGTTTGTTTTTGTGTTTTTTGTTTTCGTTTTTTAGAATTATATACTTACGGACTAGCAGAAAGTCATGTCATGTCACTGGACTCCAGTGTAGTTGAGCATGGTTCAAGTCCCAAACCCAGCAGATTAAAACTCAAAGGCACGTGTGCGTGTGTGCCCAAAATCCTGAGAGGCAAATAGAGGAGAAGGGATTGCGGCATGGCCATCTCCCCAAGGGGTGATTTCTCTTTCTGTTGCTGTGTCTCTCTAGTGAACACACATACCCTATAGCAAAAAACCTCTCTTTTAAAGTATCTATTTAATTTTATTTATCATTATCATTCTTTAAAATTTGCGACAGAGCACACACGTTCACCAGAAAGAGGGAGAGAAAGAGAGAGAAAGAAGATGAGAAGGCAATCCGCCAGGTCTAGGACTCGAACCATCGTCAGCCATTTGGGTGTCTAGTATCTTAACCACCACACCACCGGCTGACCCCAATAACAGATCATTTTTATTATTTATTTATTTATTTTTAGAGGTTTTTGCTATAGGGGGCATACGCTTGCCGGAAAGACAGAGACAGAAAGCGAGAAATCACCCCCCAGAGGGGATGGCCACACCACAATCCCTTCTCCTCCATTCTTCTCTCAGGATCTTGGGCACGCATGCACACGTGCCTGGTGTGAGTTTAAGCCACCGGGTCTGGGACTCAAACCACAGTCCACTACATGGGAGTCCAGCCACATAGCCATTATGCCAACTGCTGGTCCCCAGATCACTTTTAAAGAATAGGATTAGAGGGGCTGGCAGGGGGTGTGGTGGTCTGAGTCCCTTGAACCCCACTGTAGGCCAGGTGTGCTCTGTTCCCCTAACCACCCGGCCCCAGCACTGAGTAAATACAGTTACAACAGAGAGGGGAGAAGCAGCTAACGGTCACCCCCGCCTCTGCCTTTCCAGACGAGTTCTTTCACTTCGTCCTCCTCTGCTTTGCCATCGGGGCCTTGCTGGTCTGTTATCACTACTACGCAGGTGAGGGGGCGGGCTAGGGTGGGCGACAGTGGCGTCAGACCTGCGGTGACCGTCCCCTCCCTCGCTGCCCTTCCAGACTGGTTCATGTCCCTCGGGGTTGGCCTCCTCACCTTCGCCTCCCTGGAGACCGTCGGCATCTACTTCGGGCTGAGTAAGCATCCCCTGTCCCCCACCACGTACCCAGGCGCAAGCACTTACACACACTTACTCGCACACGCATGTCTTCGGAAGGGTGGCGTCTGGACTGGCCATACATGTTCGCCAAGGCCTTGAGAGTTGCACCGTAAACTTTTTTTTTTTTTTAATTTCTTTATGCTCATGTTTTCTCTTTTTTTTTTTTTTTTTTGGAGAGGTTTTTGCTATAGGGCGCGTGCACTTGCCAGAGAGAAAGAGAGACACAGAGACAGAAAGTGAGAAATCACTCCCCCGGGGGGATGGCCATGCTGCAATCCTTTCTTCTCCATTCTCCTCTCGGGATCGGGGGCATGCACAACACATGCGCCTGGCGTGAATTTAAGCCATTGGGTCCGGGACTCGAACTGCAGTCGGCTACATGGGAGTCCAGCGACATAGCCATTATGCTAACTGCTAGTTCTCTCAGGCTCATGTTTTCTTCCAACGGCTTTCAAGGTCAGTGTGAAGTCATTGGCAAAGCCCTGTGAAAAAGTGGGCAGCTCCATCAGAAGGCAACAGAAACAGCTAGTAACAGCAAACAGGCAGAACTAGCCAGGTATCGAACACTGGTGATAAGAGTTAATAGAGGGACCAGCAGATGACGTAATGGCTATGTCGCTGGACTCCCATGTAGTCGACAGCGATTCAAGTCCCAGACCTGGTGGCTTAAACTCACGCCAGGTGCGTGTGCGTGCGTGCCCAAGATCCGGAGAGGAGAATGGAGAAGGGATTGCGCCGTGGCCATCCCCCCTGAGGGGTGATTTCTCACTTTTTGTCTCTCTGTCTCTGTCTTTCTGATGAGCACATGTGCCCTGTAGCAAAAACCTCTCAAAAGAGAAAAAAGAGCTAATGGAACTGGGGGCCAAACTGCCCTCCAGTTTCCTGCAGTGACCATAATTCCTGGTTGCTGTTCTTAATAACAATAACACTCCCGCTGTTATCTAAGCCTGACCTGTGCTGGATCCTACCATCTGGGCTCTGTCCGTGTGGGCGGGCTCTGTCTCTGTGTGGGCGGGCTCTTTCCGTGTGGGCGGGCTCTGTCCGTGTGGGCGGGCTCTGCCCGTGTGGGCGGGCTCTGTCTGGACTCGGGGCGGGGCGGGAGAGGGGCCTGCACCCGCAGACCT